CCGCTCTCTCCATGGTCCCTCCTGCCATGCCGGCCGCTGCTGCAGGCTCAAGCCAGGCTCCGGCGCGGATTGCTAGTCAGTTCGTCCCCGCTCGTGCTCAATGCGCGCTTCACGGCGCCTCCAACTTCTGGCATTCTGCATTATTTGTTTCACATCGTGCTGGGCGGCACGTTCCTCTTCGGACTCCGACTCGGAGTCAGACGCGTCCGTGTTTGGAGACGGGGTGCCTGTGGCTTCTTCCGTATGCACTGTTGCCCGAACCTTTTCAGCAACCCCGTCGGACGCTAAGTTTTATCAGCGCTTCTGTGGCGAAGTCCCCGTCTCACAACCTCTGTTCAGTTGTTTCGACAATATGCGATGGGTAAAGCTGGTGCAACTTTGGTGCGACATCCACGGGTTTCACGAATTTCCTTTCTGCTGCGTGCTACAAACCTGCAGCCGGCCCATGAATGCTTTTACCGCCCCATGCGGGCCACAGTCGGGTCCACGCCCTCGGGTGCGAGGCCGAGGCCACACTTTCGAGTCGCCATCTGAGTTCGTGCGCCGAAGCACCAAAAGGCCTTCTGGACATCAAGAATTACGGGTTCAACAATTATGCATCAGGCTTCGACTATACCAACATATTCCTGGACATCGTCACTGGCGCGGCGTCGTCTCACGCGCAAGTTCTGCTCAACATATTCGTTTGTAAGGTATGGCTCAACCACGGGTTTTTTTTCGCCATGTTCTTGATAGCATACGCTTATGTGCAGACGCGACCGCGCCAGGTGAAACTTCCACGTTTGGTGGAGAGGTTCCGACAGCACCTTTCGTCTTACCTGTCGGCCCAGAGTCTTCGAGATGCGTTAATCGCCGCCGTGCTCACATCTGAGAACATGGATATATACATGATGCTCCAAGCCGCGGCTATTTGTTGGATTCTCCACAGCCGCAAACAAGCAAGAACCGGGTACAATATAGGATCTTTTGCGAATGAGACTCCGCTGGCACATCCTCGTGTCCGGTACATCAAGCTGCGAATTCGACGCAGGAATGGTTGGAAGCATATCCAACGGCCGGTCCTCGACGGCGTTCACATCCCTCGCAAATGTGTCATGGTTCTGCCTCGGTTGGAACAACTGCGACAATTGCTGCTTAGTAAGACCCCATTTGAAATCGCATGCGGAAGGCTGCCGCCGACGCGTCCCACACCCAGGACCCCCCACGCTGATGTTTCCGTGGTCCGCCCGCTCGCTATGGCGAGCATCCCACAAGGCCCCGTGACCCCTTCCCCGATGCCCCTAAGAAAGCTACGCAATGCCAAGCACGGCTCCCTTTTTCATTCGACATATTTTCCAAGCCGCCATCGCGGGGGCCTGCGCGAGCGGGCCGCGGATCCACGCTGCCATGCCAGGTAGGTCCGTTTGTGGCCATGCAGATTCTCAATGCGTTCCACCGGAATGCTTTGTCGTGCAAGCTCTCAGGCGCGTCTATAATCACGCGGCTCTGCGAAAGGAGGCAGATATATCCTGGCCCTGGGACGCGCGTTTTGCTAGGATTGCGCGGGTTCCCCAGCGGGCTCAAAGGCAAGAAGAAGAAGACGCCATCCTCCCGCATGCAAAACACATTGGACCGGCGCGATGCATTAATGTGCGACGCCGCGTTCGCAGAAATGGCATCCCAGTGGGGGCCGACAGGCAAGCGGGCGGCCGGATTGCTCGGCATGGCTCACCTGCGTAGCTGCGGCTTTGCCGAAGAGAGCATGGTTTGCGAGATCGGGCCCAATTTATCTCGGTCGCGAAAGCGCGCCCGTGCCTCGCACTGGCCAGGCGATATCCGCGATGGCTTCGTGCTGTCATTGCGCGCACTGTATTTCGCAGAGCGTCGGGCTCTCTGGACGCGCTTGGCCCGGCGCAAGGTCGCCGAGGTCGTCCGAGCGCAGCCCCGTGCACAGTTTTTTGCAGACCCGACAGACAGAATGACCCCGCAAACAAAAAAGCACGCGCCTGCCGTGCACGAGAGAAAGGAAGACGGCAAAGAGGGCGAGGAGGAGGAGGAGGACGACGAGGAGGAGGAGGAGGGCAGGCAGGAGCAAGAGCAAAGGAGAAGCAGCATTTGTAGGACAGCTTCCGGCGCAACCCGCACCTTCGTGGACCATCGGACCAGACATGGCAACATGGTGCCGCTGATATGGAAATCGCTTCTCGGGAGCCTCCAGGCGAATCTGGAAAAGGAAGGGAAATGATACGAAGAAGAGGAGGAGGACGACGAGGAGGAGGGGGGAGGAGGAGGGAACAGGCAGGAGCAAGAGCAAACGGGGGGGGGCAGCAGAGAGAGAACGCAGCATTTTTAGGACAGCTTCCGGCGCAATCAACACCCTCGTGGAACATCGGAACGAACATGGTGCCGATGACATGGACATCGGTTTCGGGGGCTTCCAGGGGGATCCTCTTCCCCCGATGCCAAACAAAAACACCCTCTCCATTGAGGCGCGCCTGGCTGTTTACACGGCCATCCCAAATACGCTTGGCACGTGTGCCGCACGATTTTTTGGGCGCCCCATCTCGCGGGCAAAGGGGTACATAATCGTCAGTTGTTTTGTCCCGATTGGCATTGTCTGGGCGACTCCCAGGGCAGCAACCTACCTCCAGGACAGCCAGAGAAATTCCACGCCCAACGGCAAGGCAACACTCGGGACAGCTTCCGGGGGATTTCACTAGCCAATCCCCCCCCCCCCCTCCATGGCAGCCGAACGACAACTTGGACCCGCCTTGGGACAGCGATTTCTGAGACAGCTTCCGGGCAGATTCGGCGGGCGCACGTCTCCGGCTCGGGGCTCAAATTAATTTTCCTACCTGCACGATTGCAGGCAGCCCGCCATTCGATTGTTTTCCACTGATTCTGCCTGCGCCTGATTGTGCACTCCCAATGATGCAACCCCAGCGCGGCAATGCACAAAATCGTTGTGGCTCCCCGTGCGCACACACTGCCACAGACATTCTCCGGACAGCTTCCGCGCCAATAACAGTCGCCCCGCCGCCCGCGGACAACCCCGAGCTCCCCGCAGCATCTGGCCCGCAGCTCCTCAAGCAGCTTTGCGCTCACCAACGCCCGGCCGCCCACTCGGCAGCCCCCCCCCGCCGCGCGTCCCAGCTCGCCATGGCCCCGAAGAGCTCGAACGCGACTTACGAGTACGCCCCGGAGCAGACCGCAGCCACCACTGCGAAGGCGGCAGACGCGGGGAAGAACCGCGACTACGTGTCGCTCTACACGGAACACGTCCACATCGAGCTCCTTGACATCAACAAGAAGAAAGCGAACGGGGTCCGCGTCACCATCGCCGACGGCGCGAGCTTGCGCTTCCGCGAGGAGCGCAAGACCCACGGCCTCACCGCGCCGTGGAAGGACGCCGTCGCCGTCCACGGCTTGGACGAGGCCCCCGCTGGCGTCCAGATCGCGCAGCGTGGCTTCACCAGGGCGCTCAGCAAGGGCAACCCGAATCCGAGCTGGGCCCACGTCCACGTGGCATTCGGCCAGTCCGCCCGCGCCACAGCCAACGCGCAGAAACACGTGCTGCAGACCACCGCAGACCTACTCCAGCACAGCTACATCGAAGCCGATTTCGTCGTGCCGCCGACGGGGAAACACAACGGTTTCACAGTCTCCAGCGTCCGCAACCAGAACCGTGTCCAGCTCATTCGGTCCTTCAAGATGCTCGACGGCACCGACCGCACGGTCAAGGAGTTGCACAATTTCTGCGTCGTCGTCGCCAAGAACATCCCCGAGAAGATCCTCGCGCCGCTGCGCAGCCTGCAGAAGATGTGCCCGCAGTTCATCACGTGGACCACGTGTGACCCGAACACGGCCATGGTGGACGCCGTCCCTTCTGCCCTGACCGCCAAGGCGCCGGCCGCCCCCACGTCCGTCAAGAAGCGCCCCTCCCTCCGGACACCTTCAGAGGCAATCACGGCGCCCTGAAACGACAGAGACGAAAAAGTGTAACGCACATTGAAGGCGAAACTTAGGACAGCTTCCGGGCTAATTCTTCCTGTCGTTAGTGATGGCACCCGCCCTTCTGTACCCTCGCACGCGCACGCCCACCCGCGCGCGCGCGTGCGCGCGCGCGCCCCCGTCGTCCTCGTGCCGGCGTGTCTTGCGATGTTCGTCCAGTTCTCGGCCTTGCGCACACTTCCTTGCACAGCCCAACGGCCGCCTTCGGCCCACGCCTCACTCCCACCATGCACTATACCAAGACTTTCAAGCGAAGCGCAGCGAGCTTCAAGTCTTGTATATATATATGTATATAAACATGGATTTTTGTTATGAGTCTTGCCACTACGTGATTGACGTGGTTGTTGTTGATGCTGTCACTGCTTCTCCTATCGATGCTCATGTCGTCGTTGCTGTTCCTGCGGTCATGCCGTGTTTGTTACTGCTCGTCTTGAAGTTATGCAGTCGTACTTCATGTTGCCATTCACTTGATAATGTGGTTACTGCAGATGTTGCCATTACTGTTCATGTGGTTTCTCTGTCCTTGTTGCCAGTGTGGTTGTCATCATTGTGGTGCTTGCTGTCGTTATGGTTGCCCGGGCGGCCGCTGTCCTTGTTTGTTATTGTTCTGCTGATTTCGCCCTTATCGTTCATGCGGTCTTGTTCATGTCGTTTTCCCTGGCCCTCGGCAAAGTGGCGACCACCACCAGGATGGTGCCGCTGTGGAGGGGCCAGAGGCCTTTGTCGGCTCCGTGGGCCAGTTGTGCCTCTGGCGCCCTGGCCCTGGAAGAGTGGCGACCCTCCCAAGCATGATGCCCTTCTGGATGGGCCAGGGACCTCTGCCGGCTCTGTGGGCCAGTTATGCCTCGGGCGCCCTGGCGCTTGAAAAGTGGCGACCCTCACAAGTATGATGCGCGCTTATCCGACATCGCCAATCTCGTGCGCCTTGAGGATCATGGTGTCTCGGCACGGATCGCCATGGTGACCCCATCGTTGCCCGACCGAATGCTTGTGCCTGCTTCTGTTTTTCC